TTTTTTATTTGCCGCACAGAAAGATCTATAAATTGTGCGGCATCCGCACAGTAAATTTTAATTTAAAATTAACACTGTATATAGTATATATATATACAATATATATATATTAATTAATAATTATATATACAGTAATTGACACTAATTAATAAATATTGTAAAATTATTTTATATAAAGAACCATATATGTATATATGATAATTGATTCTTACAACATATGAATTTTAAAAATAATCGTCAAGCCGGTTTTTAATTTTAACTAAAAAAAAAAATTTATGGTACATACGTATAACGATAATGATTTTTCAAATATTCGCAAAAACTGACCCGACAGGATTATGATTCATTTTATATGGAGAGAATGTGATATTATATTTTATATTACGAGTTAATTTTAATAATCTTTTTATTTAAATAAATAAACAGTAAACGTCATTATCAAAAAAAGTGACTATTAAATTATTACACAACAAGTTTATATAATATATATATTTATTATATATATACTGTATATATATAATAGAATTGAAAATAACTGTTTCTCGTAACCCCATCGGGTCGGGTCAGCTTTTATAAAATTTCAATCCAAAATTTTGTTATTTATATTATGGATGGATGAAAAAAATTTGGGTTTAAACAAAAGTTCGTAATTAAAAGCCGGGCGGGTCACTTTAAAATTTATATGTTATGAGAAACAATTAATTAACTTTATATAGCCTAATATCGATATATAGATAACAAAAAAATTTTTCCATTGTGTGATATAAGTTTTTATCACAAATACTTCGTAACTTCATTGTCCATTCAGTCACTTTAATGTCACGTTTTTCACATGATATATTGCCAAATATTTGATTGGTCCAACTCTATCAGATAAATTCTATAATTATATCAGAAATCCAAAAAAGTAAGTTTTGCCACTTAAACTCAGCTATCCTGTATGTGTTACGACTTTTTGAAAATTTGTGTGTAATAAATTCCTCTTATCGAATAGCAGTCAAGTCCACCATAGGCATTCTTAACGCCCAAAGTATTTACACTAACTATGGAATCGTCGAATAATAACACCACTTCACCGATTGAATCTTTTACCACGAATGTTATAACTCTTGTATGTTTCCGTTTATGTTGAAGTAACTTCTCACCTGACAGGGAGACGTCTTATAACAAATAATAAATTTTCTTTTTCGGTTCTTTGTAGTCTAACATTGTGAGTGTAGGCTGGCGCAAGTATTCTTATGCTTGTTCCTCCGACCAACTCCGCTCTTTTATCACCTCCGCACCTCTACTGTCGTCGTGGTCAGAAGCCACTAGTCTTCCACCAATGGACGATCCTATCGTTGCTAACTACTTGAAGCTGCTCGAAGAAGGAGTTCCATGTACGTGGCAATACAGTGGTGAATCAAAAGGTAGCTTTGAAAATCTTTTTACAGACAATATGATACTGCATAGAGAACTGTGGATTTTTTGGCTTGAGGGGCAGAAAAATGACCTCTCCTCTCAAAATAGTTTGTATCAGTTAAAAGGCGAGTAATGCTTCATTTGTAAATTTTGATCACTACTAGCATTCAATTTAAATAATTCATAAATTATTATTAATTTGTAGATTTGAAACAAACAGATGGAGGAAGTTTTTCTTTGAAAGATATCGATTCTCACACAACAGAATATCATTTATTCATAAAATCTATTAAAAATTTAATAAGCCGGTGTGATATTATTGTCTCATATTCTTCGTGCAAGATGTAAACTTGATTAAATTTTGTTAATCTTTTTGCCTTACAAAATTAAAGATCTTTAATAGGGAAAGGTGCAGTCCCTTTGGGTGAATGGAACGCCTTTCCACAAAATTTTCAGATAGTATATGAAAGGTTAGATAAAGTATATCTATAAATATATATGAAAACAATTATTAAAACTATAAATTTTTTCATTTATCAGTATATTATGCTGCAAATGTGAGGTACATCTAACGGCCACAAATTTAATCATCCAGCCGATTGTAAAATATCAAAGTTTACGTCCTCTAGAGCCTAGCGACCTTGAATCACCAGATAGCATACGAACCGTAATATCTCCTTCTGGTCTACGAGCCGATATACTGCCTATTCAGCGCTATGAAGAAGAGGACGTATCTGCTATCTCGAAAGAGTTCAAGACATTTTTTAATCTTGATACATCAAAAATGTCTGGCACAAATGAATCATATTTACCTCCTTTAGTGCAAATATCAATAAAGCAAGAGGATGTCATAAAAGAATTTCCTTACCCTTCACAATATATATATGTTGTTACTGAGGGTAATATAAGCTATCAACGTGGAATTTCGGATTTCGGAATGGGTCCTGTATTATGGAGCAATTTGGATGGTGGTTTAACAAATAATATTTTGTCCAAAGACCAACTTCTAAATGATATCAATTGGTGGCACTACAATGATCCGTTACGTGATGTGGTAACCGTACTGAACCAAAGGGATTTTCATGACTCAAGTGTCCCATCTCCATCCGGTCCAGAAACTCCAATAGTTAACGTTACTTTTAATGCAAACTCCCCAGCGCCTTCTTTAACTCCTGTATCAAGGTCCAAAAAACGGCCTTTGGGAGACACGAGAGCTTATCCATCTCCACCTGATGTAGTCCAACCGATGTCTGCTGAAGGATTGATTCCACAGCTGCAAAATGAAGATACACTATCTATCAGTGACAACATGATGGCTATGATGGAGTTTGACTACGATCCAAACTTCACGGAAATAACGGATGCAGATTTTGATGTTTTTAATAATAATGGAGAGGTTTGTATATATATACATATGTTTTTCTTCAATAAAAAAAAAAAAGTCATTACTAGACACAAAAGACACGTTCTGATATAGTACAAATTTTCATAACTTTATGAAGCCTCTAGCTCACACAACTGCGCCAACAAATTATCTAACACCAGCACCAGATGCAACAACAGTTGTCAAAGAACCAATATCTATTACACCGCAGTCTCCACCGAAGAAAGCAAACAATAGTAATTTCGCATAGTTAATCAAGAGTTTGTTCACCGAATGTCAAATTCATCGACAATTCATCTCAAATGACAAGATCAGTTCACTAGAAACCACTTCACGGACAATTTTTCCTATCGCCTATCATACTTTAATATGAAAATAACTATACTAGAACTCACCCTAACCTTAACCTTTAATCCTAAATTATATTAAATTTGTATAAAACATGGTTTCTTATAACGTTTGTTGTGAAGTGATTGTCGATGAACCGATCCAATCGGTGAAATGACTGTCGACTAACAAGATGTCGACAAAGTGATTATCAAATAATAATTAATTTTACCTCCACTTAAATTTTCAACGAGACACCTGTGAGATTCTAGTAGCTCATGCGTACTTTCTCCTTCGCCACGAATACCAACTCCAAAAGGGTAGGAACCAAGTACAACTTGTTCACAAAGATATGTAAAAGCAAGTTTCGTTATATCACCTTTTGATTCGGTTTCATTTAATGTACGAAGCATTCGACAACTAGAAAGACCATAAAAATCAATCATCATTGATAAACGTCCTGCATTTATAAATTCTAATTTTCGAGAAT